ATGGTTGTTAATTTTCCAGATAAGGTACTATTTAACTGCTTTGAGAACAGTTTGGTCGCTAGAAGTTGTAATAAAGAGTCAGGTTCCTTGGTGGAATGAGGAGCCAGCTAATAAGAGCTAGAAAGTACGAAGCTCATTCAATAGATCAAAGCTGTATTTTAGACTTACTTATTACAACAAAATGAATCCGACAGTCCAGACAGACTGGCATAGCTACTTTGAGAGTATTGGGAAGCTTTGTGGAGTGGACTCGAATATCCTTTGTAGATATACATACTTATAAAGGCAAGTGGTTAGTAACCCCAAAAAGATGCGAATGACAGGACACTTCAGGCTAAAGATCAGGTAATCAGGCTAAAGAGCTACTATAGGGCGCCCCTCTAAATGCAATGGTAGAATGTTGTACATTAAAATAAAGAAAGTAATATCCAAAATTCTCTGAAGTTAAGAACAGATTTAAAGTACAGTCGACGATATACTTATTTGATGACTTATATTTTATACGACGACAGTTTTTATTGCTTTACAGTGCCTTCCTAAAAATATATAATCGGTATTGGACACATATTTTTCTGTATCCTTTGGTCGATTCGAATGCATACATATTTTCTATGCATATTTGAAATTTGAAACATGGACATTTATAGCTGGATCCGCATCAACATATGTAGAGTCAAAGAGGCGTCGAAGTTTGCGAAAAGTAGAGCTTTTTCAGATGGTTTTTTCTTCGTTTATATTTGATATAATTTAAGTACTCAAATAGTTTTATGTTTTATAATTTTATTAGTTAATTCTTCTGAAAAATTACATTAAATTAATAAATAATCATTACTGTAAAAATATTTGCATAAATATGTTTATTAAAACTTATCATATAAACTCGCATATAAATTTATTATAAATGTGTTGAATTATTCTTATATACTTTTGTAGTGGGTAACGACGAGTCGGTAGTCTAATAGGAAACTTCGCGTCCACACGTGATATGTCGGGCTTGGTACTATTTTCAAATTAGACTCCCAAAAGTCATTGACTATTTTGTTTGCGGCCTCAACATTACAATAAATAATTAAATTATTATTATTATTATTAATTAAAAGTTACTCTTAAATTTAGTTAAATAATTCGTTTTCGAACACTGGGAGTGTTCAATATTTTCTATTTGGATATAACATACCTAAGATTACTTAGAAGCTAGTTAGACTAATGTTTAATTCAGTATTGCCTGTCTTGCTAAGATTTTTCTAGCTCATTTTAAGGTTTCTAGGACCCATGCGCGGTACCATACGGGGCTCTATTTGTGGCCTAATATTTTTCTGTTTCCGGCCTTCTTCCTGTTCGAAATCCTCATCATCGCCGAAGAGCAAAGCTTCTAAACTTGTTTCAAATGCCGACTTTTTCCGTATTGTTGGCGTAGGTGTAGTGGGGGGTTGCTGGGTAGTGGAACTCACAACAGTTGTTGTGGTTGCTGTTGGTTTCGTTGTAGTGGTGACAATCATTTGTGTTGCAGTTGTATTAGCGCTTTCGAGAGCGGAATGTTTTTCGCTGATTTGTGGTTTCTGAGTGCTTGTTGTGGTTGTCGTTGTTGTCGTAGATGTACTAGTCGAACTTGTGCTTGTACTGCTTGTTGCGTAGTTTTTGTGGAACGGTTCCATACGGCTTGCCAATGCCAGGGGTAAATTATTTGTTTCTTGTGGGATGACAGTTTCTTCATTGCCGTCAGCTTTGTAGCCCGGTGGATAGATGGGCTTAAAACCACCCTGTAGCTCCGGTTGAAAAGTATCTAACTCAAACGTCTTAGCAGTTGTAGCATCATTCTCTGCATTTACTCCGTCGTTCATTTCCGTCACGTCAGCGCGGTTTATTTTATTTTTTTCGTAGAGTACATTATCTGTGGTTGATTTAATTATATTCCAACCATTTGAAGGTGGATTCGCTGCTGAACCCAAACTAACGCTTGGATAAAAAGGTGCCATAAAGTCCTTCTCAAAATTTTGTCCACGCACATCGAAGTCGTTGTTGAGACCAGCTTGCTCAGTTTGGGTGTCCGTGCGTATTTCGCTTATAACTGCACTCGCCAAGTTCACATTAGAGTATCTTTGGCTATTTTGCTCTATCCGTTTAAATGGATTTGATTCAGTGGGTGAGTATGCTATTGCAATTGGAGTTTCAGTTCCACTTCCATATGCACCGTTAATAATTCTTGGCGCTATAAGTACACCTGGAATACGTTTGTGCGGATTTAGCTCAGTATAGGATGGGTCTGGCTTTTCAATGGGGTAAGGAAATTTGTCTTTAGGTATTTGCGAATTAGTTTGTTGTTGTAGTGATTGAGGTTTCTTATTTTTCAGTATTGGTTCCTGAGGTTGGTCACGAACTACAGAGAAAGGTGTGTTTTGGTATTCGCTGCCTGATGAAGGTTCAATATGCGCGACAGCTGGTAAAGGTTCTTTACTCTCTGCTGCCTCATTAATATCAGCTTTGTTTCCTTGCATGGGATAAACCACGTACAAACCATTTTGAGAGGTTGTGCTTACATCTTCAACATCATCACCGGATAAAGCTGGCACCTGTATTTCACCAGCACCGGTATCTTCTTCATTTGTAAATGTTTTTTTCTGTGACTGCAACATCTGCAATGTGACGACTGGTTCCAACTTTGTGTCATCCTCAGTAATTGCATCTTTGTTTGGCGTTATGGGCTGCGGGGGATCGTTAATAACCAAATCTTCCTCTTCGAAGGCAGCCAAACGTTCAAGTGGCATGAGAGGTGTTTGCTGAGGCAGAGTTTTGTAGGCGTCTGGATTATAAGAATGTCGTTCTAGTCCATATTGATCAGCGGGGCGTAAGGCATGTGGCATTGGACGGCGTGAATAGACACGATCTGTCATTTGCGAGTTTTGACCACCGTAAGGTGGTAAACGATAAACTCGTCTATTTGCTTCACCGTTCGGTGGTGGTGCGGCACCTGCTGGGTATTCTGCTAAACGATTTATGGGATAGGACTTCTGTTGTGTTAAGGTTTGACGACGATGTGCAAATTGCGGCCCGTTGCTGTTACGTTTCGGTGGCTGTCCTTGTATTCTTATGTTACCTGGTTCCTGATTAAAATTGGCAGGTGGATGGCCGCCAGAGAGCTTTGCATTTGGACGAAATTGTGGTAAAATATTGGGTAAATGTCGTTCAGGATTGGGTCTTGAAATGCCAGGAACGGGCTTACGTGTATATTCATTATATGCAAATTGCGGTGGACTTAGCGGTCGGTTTAAACCTGGTCTCTTTGGTGTATCAGCATATTCGGTGGCAGGAAATCGTGGTGGTGGTTCCATATGCGTCGAAGGTGCTACGTGATCCGGCAATTGAGGGAAACTCTATAAAAGGGACAATTTAAAAACTGTGATTCTGAAAATTCATGCTACTTACTAATTTCTTTTTATGCTGATTCATTGTAAGCACTTCGTGTTTTTGAATTTCAATATCAGATATGTCTTGAGGCGCTGTTTCATCGTGCAACTCGTCCTTAGTTTTGGGAAAAGCTATAGTGTTGGTTTGCTGTATTTGTTGTAAACTGAGTGGTTGTGCATGCCCATTTACTTGAGGGCTTTGAGGTGGAAGAACATTGGAAGGTAATGCAGATGCTTCATCTGATTGATCTTCAATGGCGGGAAAGCGTATATTCGTTGTGACTAACAGTTCCTTGGTATCTTGTGGGGCACCAATGTTACTTTGAGTTTGGACATTCGTTTGTTGTGACACAGGCTGCTTTGGCCCAACTACCTGATAATGCACTTCTTGAGATTGCTGTGGAGCTTCGGCGGTAGATACTTGTTGTGGAAGTGTTGAAGCTTGACTTTGTTGTTGTTTTTGAGTGACTTGATGTTGTGAACGTATTGGATTCCCTATCAATGGTAATTGCTGATATGGTGAAGGTGGTGCTGGTGGCTCAGTTTGATAATGTTTGTTAGGCGGATGCTTGTCTTGGGGTTGTCTGTTTGGAAATTGATTATTTACGCTTGGTCCATGCGCGAAGTTATTGCTTTGCTGAAAAACAGAGCTCCCGGCTCCAGCATTTTGCATGTATGAATTCGGTCCATAGTTACTAATCTTGTGTGGTAAGGTTTGTCCGGGGCGAGGTACACTATTTATATCTTCGCTTATGACAGTTCCATATTGTACGGGTTCCTTGCCAAAAAGAGGCTCTTTCTCTACTGAACCTACTCCATTGGTGCCCACTTGTTGTTGGCTACCCAAAACAAATGACGCCGAGTTTTGACCAGGCGAGATAACAACATTATTTATAGCACCTGGCAGTGGACGATATTGTAATACATTTGGCTGTTGCACTTGATATGAGACATATTCGTTGTTATAACTATCAGGCTTTATCGAAGAAAGCTTAGGATCTTGTACGAAATGTGGCGATGATGGTGATTCATTTAATTGTTTGTGTGGGTTAAGAGGCTTGCTTCCAGCGGTAAAAGCAGGGCGTGTAGTATGTGGCGGTAACTGTTGATATATGCTCTGCATTGAGAACGGTGATGGCTTCGAGGGTGCAATAGGTTGCATCAAGTTGCCTTCCGCATCAAAGCCTTGATTGGCTTGATTACTGATGGATAAAGCCGATTCCTCTTCAGCCAAGGTGTTGAAGATATCTGAAAGCGTCATTGTGTCTTTTTCTTGGTGCTTTTGTTCATTGTGTTTATGTCCCAAGGTTTGATAGACATCAGCAACATTGAGATCGGCAATACTAGTGGAAGGTTTTTTCGTGGGTTTGGCTTCTTCATTAAAAACAATGGGTTTGCTGGTATTTGCTGGTAATTTTGTTGAAGATACTAATTCAGTTGGGAAAATAGAGGACTGTGGTGTGGGATGATATGTGGTGTGCACAGTTGTTGTAATTTTACTTGCTGATGTGTTTGTTGGTCGTTCGTTAGGAAAACGCATTGATGTTGTGCTACTAGCGGGAGTGGTTGTTGGATTATATTTTTTTGTGGGCACAAATTTCTTACGAGTTGGACTGGCTGTTGTGCGAGGAACATAAGTTGTTGTTATGATTGCAGGTTTACGAGTACTTGTGGTATATTTGGCTGCGCTGGTAGTTTTTGTGGATGATGTAGTTGTTGGAGTAGTTTGTGTAATTGGTATAGTTTGGGTAGATGTTGTAGGTTTTGTAGACGTTGCTGTTGTGGTGGATAATGTAGTAGTAGTTGTCGTTGTTGTAGTAGTAGTAGTGCTAGGTTTGTCATTGGATTGAGGTCCCGCCGTAGTTGGCGGCACTGCCATAAGCTTAGTTGTGGGTACTGTGAAGTAATTCTGACTGTGATAATTTGGCGGTGGTGTAGCAGGTGCTACAATAGAAACTGGTTTCTTGTTGGTGATATAATTCTTATTGCTACCCTGATATTTTAGATTAGCATATGAACTTGAAACCAGTGGATAAACGAATTTCGATGATGAGTACTTCACTGGTAAATTAAGAAAATCATGTATGTTTGGCGAGGAACTGGTAAGCACAATCTTTTCTTTGGGATCGTATACTTCATTGACGGCTGTTTCAATGCCTGCTTGTTTCTTGGCACTGAAATCTAATTGACCAGAAATTGGATCTTTGCCAGCGTAATAGGGTTTACCATCGTTAAATATTTGATTTGGCAAAACGTAGCTAGTTGATATTAGTTCATCTTCTTGAGAGCCGCTATCATCTCGTGCTTCTAAAGGTAGTTGAGATGAAGGAATATCTGCGAATGTCAACTGTAGGCAACTGCTTAGAGTCGCTAAGCCAAACGCTAACAGTAGCCAAGAAGTCTTATAAGGCATGCTAGCTGTTATTGCTGTTTCACCTGGAAGAGAAGAAAAAATGGTTTGAATAGGCTTACAAGTACTTATGTTGAATTTTTAAGATTTTATTGTTTAAAAGAAAGTTGAACGTGTAAGACGCCTGATGCCGCAGATGTTGCGCAATGCAAATCTCAATTGATGACAGGTGGCAGCTTAAGTCAACATTTAGTTATGCAATCAAGAGAAAAATGTTATTAATTTAATTTAATTGCTGCCATAAAAATGATCACTCCGTCAGGTAAACTTTCTAAATTGATGTTTGTTTTTATTGTAAATAATGTTTTTTTCTATTGAGTTTATTTCACATTGTTCACGGCTATCAAATTTGTAGCAATGTTTTTTTTTTGTTTATAGTTTGCTTTTTATAATAGAAAGAAGAAAATTTAATTAAATTATGTAATCTAATATTAGTACATGTTCAGTGTACGAAGAAAATGAAGAAAACCTGAAGATGTTATTATCTGCCTTCAAGATCTTTTGTAAATCACAAGAGCAGAGTTAATGTTTGCAGATCTTCAAAAACACCCATACTGCTTTCAGATAGTTAGGTTATGCTACAGACATCTGCTTCCACTTTCGACCTTTCACAATAGTCATCACCGTTGAAGATTTAGATTTTGTTTTTATCTTTCCAGCATATTAAATTTCTATGGATTTATAGATGAGAAGTGAGGTATAAGAAGTGATCAGTCATTAAAACTATTGCTCACTTAGGACCTATTAATTTTATTGGACTGTGTGTAAATGTATGACAACGTGTGCTACATTAACATGAACTATATCTAAGTTATTTTATATCTGGTAAATATAAAATAGAGATATTTTTCTTCTACGATTATAAACTAATTTCAGAAGTTCCAAACCTAAACGGCAGCAATTTTATACTTATTTATTACAGGTATGAAGTAATGGTTATGGTATGCAGTAAAGAATAAAGTAATGGAATATCAAAAGATGCCTATAATATATTTCTAGTTGATAACCAAGTTTTCTACTTGACTGTTCGTAACAAATCAAAAATGCAATGGTACTATAACACCGGCAGTCATATTTGCTTTTCTTGCAGCAATAAATATATAATAGTCTTATGTTGATAGATAGAACCAGTATGAGACCTTTAATCTATATATATGTACTATTCCCCGTATATGAAATGGAAGTGAAAGAATCGCTTTCAAAAAAATTATTCTTAAAAAATATTTCAAATGATTTGTTATTAAGAGAGGAACAACTCTAGTGGAGTTGAGCGCTCGGATCACAGTAGGTGTTTTGGGCTAAAACTTTTTCTTACCTAAAGAGTTTACATTCATTTTTTCGACTTAGAGCCAGAAGGAGGAGTTTCTAATATCGCATGTGCACTAGAGTTTCTACTACAATATCTCTCTTCAAGCTCAAATCAACCTCGGATAGACACAAAGATTGTGACTCGAAGTCTCAGTCAGAGTTTTCAGACAGAGACGAGAGTTTGTCAACTCAGACAAAATCATCTGGTTCAGATATTAGTGCATTCTTAAATAACCTGATAAGTAAGCTGCTAACTTCGTTGTAGTGTGGGAGGATGTTTCTTTGTCAAAACGATACACTTGCCAGTCGTGCCAGTAAAAATATATTTCATGTGTTATGTTTTTTCATAAATCCTATCTTCAATAATCTGGTTAGTACCTATTATGTTTATTTAATCTTATTACAAACAATAAGCATAAGTAACACGCTTTTGTAAAACAAAATAAAAGATTTTTACATAAACGTGTTTTTTTAAATAAAAATACAATATTTTAAGAAACAATCAGCTACCATCTTACAAGCATTTGGAGTTGTTATACAGGACAGGTAAAAATCAACAAATAGCAAATGTGAGCTTTCAAGGTAAGTCAAGCATAATCAAATGGCATTCCAGCTCTTGAATGGAAGAAACTGTCAAAGTGGACATGCATACTATGTGTGCACAACTCTATAAGGAACTATTACGAATGTGCATTCCACAATAATATAAGGAGTGTTCAACAAGCATCAACTATTCAAGATGAAACTTATTCTGACTAAACAAGCAGTTAGCTAACCAAATAGAAGTACTACCAAGAATACATAAACTGACCATATTAAAGCTAGTGGTTAGAGTAAATATTTCTACTCTACAGTAACTCTAGATGTGTTGACAAGTTTGATTCAAGTAATTTGTCTGAATTTCCTTCGAAAATTCGTTTTTGGTGTATTTCTGACATCTATACTTTGTCATAATTTTAGGCTTTGAAATAAAATGATTTTTAAGAAGAAGTATTTCTTATATTGCAAGTCGCAAACATTGCTTCTATTTGGCATTGGAGTGAGTATTGCTGTTTCTGCTACGTTTTGAGCTGTCTTCGAAGTGACGTCTTGATATGCGTGTAATTGTGCTCAGCGCAACACCTCAACACAATTTCCAAAAACAGTTGAATCACATTATTAACATGTCTTTCAGTGACTACTACAATTGCTACATAAAGGAAAACATAAAAGTGAAATTTTTAATTAAATTAAACTCGACATTGATTTAATATGTCGAAAATTTTATTTCTTTCAAATATAGTTCATATAAAGAATAAACTTCAAAGTGTGATATTACAAAGATTTTTTTTAACTTTAATTTTAGAGAGTTAAGCATGGAAGGGATTAGGTTAAAGTAGACCTGTAAGAACGTAGTATTAATTAAAACTAACGTTTAACTTTAAAATGAAAAGTCATAGTATTAAACCGAAAGGAACACCATCATAAATTTTTCATTTAAAAGCGATAAAAGGTATGTATCTCTTCCAAAGCTTAGTCAACAAAAGCTCACTAAGTGAACAAATATCACAGTGCCGTGCTCTATTAGCAGCCTATAGCCTTAAGTCTATCCAAGTCTAATTGTATGAGAGATTTAATTTCTAATTTGTTTGCAATTGTAAAAAGTGTGTTAATGTCAAAGTTTTAATTTGAACCCTAATCTGTAGTTTTACTACGGATTTCCATATTTACAATATGTTTATACTTATACGAATTTTTTTCAAAAAAGTTGGTTAAAATCTACATTATGGAAAAGCTTTTGTCACAAGATATATGGAAACAAGAAGAGATGGCAACGCTGTGTGCGGTTGGCGTTGACGAAGGTTGTGTCAGATGGAAAAAAAAACTAAATAAATAAAAACTGTAACATTTTAAATGAAATTAACAATAAAACTAATGACATCTTGAAATAATAAACAGAATATGATTGATCCTTCAGTTGAAAATTTCGAAATTTCAGTGTTGACAATGACCTACTTGATCACAGAGTTGTATTTGGCATAAGTCAACTTCACACCAGCATCAATTCACTCTTACTCGGCACAATTTAAGACTTTCAGTCACTCAATGACAACAAAAAGTGTTGTAAAACGGCTTGCGTATTGAAAAAAGAATTTGAAATTTTGAATGTCAAGTGCAGATGTGGCACAGGTGCAATGGCACAGGTGTGTCGTGCCTCAACTACATCATATAATCATGTAATTATAATCACTGCAGTTGTAGAGGAAACGATGCATTTTCTGTTTACTTTAAATCTATTATTAAATTGTATCTATGCATTTATATTTATTTAAATTCCAGCAAAACTCATGTCTAATTTAATCGATTCATGTTACACAGCAAGTCATGTGTTTTCTGCTTGATACGAACCTAATAAAATGATTGGAATTTAAGCGGCAAGGTATGTAGATAATACAATTAATTTCTGCAGTAATTGAGTTCAAAAAATATTTGGAAAGCTTCCTTTAATAGTCAATTTCACTTTCATTTTTATGAATAAATTTTAGGCGAATAACGCACTAAGCGTAACGAATGAATTCATGATTTTTACTATCAGTGAGAAGAAATATTCATTAAAGGTATAAAGAAATGCATTCATTATTAATTTATTAATGCGTAAAATAAAATAAATCATTGATTATTGTTTTACCACCTGGAAGCTTTTCATTTGAGTCGTAATAATTATTTTAATAAATTATTTTACGTTCCATATATGATAATACGAAGCGCGAGGAAGTCATTAAATTTAACGCAAATATGGTATAGAAAAATAAAATATACCTATAAATTAACTAAGTCAGGCACTAAAATTTTAGTTGGCTTCAAATACAATAAAATTAATTGAACTGATTAAAAGCTGAAGCGAATTAAAATGTAATTTCTTATAACTAAAATACAAATATGACAGAAAGTAAATTTATTTTTCCGCGACATGACATTTACCTACTAACATAACTGCGCATATATCATTGTCATTGGCCCCACAACTATAGTTCGTTCTTCTCTCTTCGGTCACAGACGCAGCGGAGCTTACCAAGTATTGTTTTTGTTATTAAGTCTCCTTTAAGCTACATTGCGCACAGTTTGTACTTGCAGTATCTCAGGAATCGTGTATCCTCATATTTGGCACAAATAATTCTCCGTACAACTTAGCTTTGCAATGCGGCTAAGAGGTCAAATAGATATTTGTTAAACATCTAAGTAAAGTTCCATGTGTGAGTGTACTGGTAGGACCATTACTCTACATAATGTTATTATCAGCCGCTATAAAAAATGAAGGATTTTGTCAATCTCGCACCTACTACTCTAAATCTTTGACCATTTGTAGATCGGAGTAAGGTGTTATTTTCAGTATTTACACCGATTATTATCTGAGAATTCTGTTCCAATTGCACAAGCAAATAGGAAGGTAGGCTGACTCTTCGAGGCAGCGAATATAACGTCTGAACTCTTGCTTATAGAAAAAAAGTAGAACAACGTAATATAATTGGTTGTGGATTATTTAATCTGCAGCTAATCATATAGTTCGATAAACATATGACTGAGCAAAAATATTCCATGCGGTCTTCTAATAAAATGTTTGAATCAGGGTATATAAAGGTAAACCCGTCACGGGAAAAAACATATATATCTTTTCTGACAGTAAATCGGCACTCCTGGCACTACGCTCACCTCGA